TCGCTAGCCTCTCGCACTAACCCAATCAAGACAGACACTCGTCCATGGTCTCAGCCCGTAATACTGCACTCCTCTCATTTTTGCATTTACCGTATCTTTGGTTTACGCAATGATTCAAGTATTCAATACACAAGTAATACCATAAATGGATACGCTCACGCTCCGGCTCTAGCTAAACAGTACTGCACAGCCTTGCTTCCCATTGTGGTCTCAGATGGAGATCACTGAAACACTTACATTTTCTCCTGACTACTGGCTTGTCACTTCACTTCGTACTATCTTTTGTACGGAAATTCGATATATTCTACTGCGCCGTTGCGTGAAAAAATATGTTACGCCGCAAATACATACCCACTCTCTCCCACGCACGTGCCGGGCACGTGACCTGCTACTCACCAGCCGCCCCTCCGGGACCTGCATCTGCCCAACCATATACGACTGTACATTGTTGTATACTCTTCAAAAAAGATGACGATATACAGCCAGCGCCTTTCGCAGTAACAGGCAGTTCGAGTAGTGTGTGCCTGAACCTTTCTTTATCTCGCACATTTCACTACTCTTGCTACTTTCAATTTCTAACACCGGCACCTCCCCCCGCTCCCACCTCGCGGCAGAGTATCGAATCTCCACAGCGTTCCGCTCCGACATCCGGCCACAACACAGATCTGTCTTCACACCATTACGACAACATTTTCATATAACTTTGGCCAGAAAATCACTTCTAATGCCCCATGGCAAGGGCATTGTCTTCCTGTATACTGCAAACGCCATTGCTCGTTGTCTTAAAGATGTAATCCCATCACTACTCCCTTGTTCTCACGTTTCTTTACCTTCAGGCAATCTCTCTTTAGCTCTGTCCCATCTTGACGGCAATCTGAGAGGGCTGCAGTCTGGCTATGACTTGAAGTGACACAGCTCCAAGGTGGTACACTACGCGCTGTCAATCAGCTGTGAGAACAAAATGACCAAACCTGTAAGGATTTTGACTTATTGCTATTGGTCCGCGTACGCGCCCTCGGCCTGACTCGATTTTCACTTTGCCAAACCCGCTGCAACCTCAAACACCCTGCTCCCCGTACCTCCTCGCATCTCCAGATGTGCCAGAGTGAACCAGTCTCCTGAGTGCCGTCGCTAGTCCAAACGCTTTTTAAGGCCCTTCAAGTTCTCCCCTGATCATGGTTCTCCACCAAGTGCCTGAACCTTACTCCAGACTGGATGGAGCGCAGAGTGGGACAAGCTGGAACACACACACAACCACAGCACACATAACCACTATACTCATGATATTAAGAATACGATGATACAACTAAGATCGCTGCAGCTTTGAGAAAGTGCATGTTAAACTAAATTTTGTAAAAAAAAAACAAACACCTTTCTCTCCACCTTGTTCATGCCTCTTCTGCTCATCGAATTGATTTGTGACCGGCCGCAGCCTCCCATCTCGGTGCTGCAGCGTGCGTCTGCATCCCCCGTGAATCCCTGCAACCTTCGATGCTTTTTCTGTTAGTGCTTTCAAGACCTCGGAGGCATGTACCGCGTGCTAACCTCGACCGGACACTTTCCGCCGTCATCGGGACCAGGTAACACTGACCACATTCATCACAATGTTTGAGGAAGTTCACGAGTTATCAGCGCCGCAACCTCTCGACTGGGCGGCGGGGCCCATACCTCACCCGCCTACGCCGCGTTTGCGCGCCTTTTAGTATGTTCACTTTTCCGGGTCACACCTATCATTCTAACTCTTCCTCAGCGACACGCCAGTGCAAGAAGCGACATATCTGCGGGATCCACGCGCACGCTTGGACTCCGGCCACTCACGCCTCTCGATGACGCTCGTGACGGCACTCTCCTCCAAATCCCAGCCCGCTGGCGTCGAACGCTCGCTCTCAGCACCAAAGTTCGGGTGCTCGCACCTGTCCTAGCCTACATACGCACCACACACGGATACCGTACCTCGTCAACCAATCACAACACAACGGCTTCCTCTCACCGCACATTATCACAAGCGGATTACACCTCAAGAAGATCAGAAGATGTTTAAAGTGAAAAAGGATGAAGAGAAACAACAAAGACACCCTCTAACTGGCGATCTCCACATACCTACTAACATTATATCACAAGTGGAGGTTATGTAAATAAGATTAAAAGACCTAAAAAAGCACAAGCTGACCACGCGGCACACACAACCTCCCAATACAATCTGCTCACGCGCCACCGCTGGGGCCACACATCAAACCAACGCGCACCACACACAACGCACACTCATCTCCTCTCACCACCGTTGTCCTTGGGGAGATGAGTCTTACGCAACCAGTCATTGATGACCGCCTGTTTCTGGTTCAAAAAGAAAATACAAAATCACTGCTAAAACCGCTGAATGTGTTCTGCCCTGCTCTCTTCCGGTGGCTGAAGGCGCCTGGCTCTACAGGCGCGCACTGCTGCCTCGACTGCTCGCAAATGGACGCGCGCAAGTCAACCAGCCACCCTGCACACTCCGCACACACAAAAAGTCAACATTGTGGGCGAAAAAGCGGCCGGGCACCGCAAGTCTACGCACCTCCTAATCTCGCTATCCGAGCTTATCACTTCCGACCCAGAAGCCCTTTCACATTACCTCCTCCTTATCCATCTGTCCACACAACTCATTGACTGAACCAAGGCAGCTTTACGGTCAGCATCCTTCCGAGCCACATCACACTTCCTGACACTGATGCCCCACCCCTCGCACTTCACCCTCACTCACGAACCTCATACACCCTCCGATCCTCTCTCTCTGATCTCTCTGGCCTTCAACCTAGTGAACCCCACACACAACCCCCACCTAGTTCCACAGGAGTGTTTAACTCATCTCAGCTCTAATATGATCTCCTCATCAAACAACAGACATTAGAGAGACAGATTTTCGGATACTTCGATATAGTAGGCTACTTCTCCTTTGTCCCCTTGATATAAGAGACACATGAAATACGACAACACGATCACTTTTTGTCCCCACAGGGGCACCAGAGAATCAACATTAAATGAACGCTCTTCTGTAAGGACATGGGTCACCAAACTTTACTTCAAGACACGAGACACTTTTGGCCAACAAAGAAAACTAAATGGTTGTGGCTGTCCCGCAGGAAACACTGAAGTCTCTTTCCTACCCTGAGAAAGTACTTGAATACCTTTTTGAAATTCATCTAAAACTGGGTTCAAATAACAAGTAAAACTCCAAAACAGATCTGCTGTTTGCCTGTGAGTGGAACTCGATCCTCTCCAAATGCGACTAAGCATGTTACGTTATATGGAAACCCCTTCATTCGTCCATGCTCGCTTTGAAAGTTGTCCAAGAATAGCTCCAAGCGCATATAAATATAGCCAGCAGCAGCAAAGAACAACATACTGAATAACACACTGTAACATGGAGGCCAGCTGTCACTCAGCATGTTGTGTTGGTGTGTTGAAGTTCAACCTCACGCCAACCACTTGCCTGGATCCTCTTCAGTCGCCTTTCCCGTTCACGCTCTGGACATCTTAAGCCTGGACTCGTACACCAGGCACACACTTGATCCCATCCCGACCGGGCTTTGCCGACAGGGCTACACATGAAACCAATGTTAATAAAGCGACGTGGACGAACGAACCACAGGCTGAAGAGCTATATCTTGGTGGTGTGTGTGTGCTGTGTGTGTGATGGTGTGTGTGTGTGTGTGTCGGTGTGTGGTGTGTAGAGAGAGAGTGTGAGAGTGTGAGAGTGTGTGTGTGTGTGTGTGTTTGCTGACTTTTTCCTCAGTGCCCAGTAGCATTTCCCAGGATTCATAGCATCCTTTGTCCTGTCTGTAGAGTCGGAGGGCTCGGACGTATGCCTGGTTCTCGTAGGATGAATCACACCAAGGATCTGCAGGAAGTGCAACCTCATTTTCATGCTCATTAAGTACACATTTGATAAGATTATAGTCCCAAGTCAACAATTTAACTAAACTTTAATTTAAAAAAAAGTTGTTTTATTGTAGGGCTATTGTATGAGAAACAGGCAGTTTACGTAGTTTCTGTTCCTATTTTTTTTTTTTTTTTAATTCATTGTATAATGGTCAACAAATACTATGAAAAGACCCAAACGAACAATAAATGGATCTATTAACAAGTATTGACCCTTCCTAAGTCCCACCTCTTTTTGCTCTGTGCTCCAATAACAGTTTAGCAAGCCTTTCCTGTGCTTGGATATGCTCGTCAATGTTGAAAAGACAACCACATTTTGAAGATGGTTGAAAAAATAAAAGGGACATATATAGTCACATCTTAAATTAGCTAGCTAATGTCAGCAAAATGCTAGCTAACTACCTAGCTAAACTAAATCAATTGTTAGCTAGCTAGATACATCTGAAAGCAAATGTTAGCGAAACATTAGTTAACTAGCTAGGTAATTTACATCAACTGTTAGTGAGCTAGTTAGTTAGATAGCTAGTTTGCATTACATACATATGCTAACTTAAGATGGTATTATATAACTATAGGTCGCTTTTATCTTTTACCATCTTCAAAATGTAGTTTTCTTTCCAGCACAGATAAGCACATAGCGTATCTAAGTACAGGAAAAGAGAAAGTTGACCAAGGTTAGCTCAACTGTTATTGGAGCACAGAGCAAAAAGGGGCGGGACTT